GTTTTCAGAAATAGATTTTGAATTGCAGCTGAAACAATTCATTATAAATATACTTTATGGGCTAGTCTATTGACTGGTCCCTTGACTAGTATACATGCTATTGACTAATCTATGTGCTAGACCACTAACTAGCCTAATGACTAGTCTATTGACTACTCTACTGACTAGTCTGTTGACTAATCTACATACTAGTCTATTGATTACTCTACTGGCTAGCCTATTACCTTGTCTACTGACTAGCCTAAGGGCTAGTCTAAAAGTTGATATATTGACTGGTCTACCGACTAGTCTATTGACTAGTATACAGACTACTCTACTGTTTACTATTGACTAGTCTATTAAGTAGTATATTTACTAGTTCACTGACTAGCCTATTTATTAATCTACTGACTAGTCTATTGACTACTCTACTGGCTAGACTATTAACTAATTTAATGACTGGTCTAAGAGCTATCTATAAGTTGATTCATTGACTAGTCTACTGACTATTGTATTAACTATTCTACCGAATAGTCTATTGGCTAGTATACTGACTAGTCTATTGACTGGTCTACTGATTAGTCTATTGACTAGTCTACTGACTACTCTACTGAATAGTATATTGACTGGTCTATTGACTAGTTTACTGCGTAGCCTATTGACTAATCTACTGACTACTCTACTGACTATATGTTTATGTTTATTCATTGACTAGTCTATTGACTATTCTACCGATTAGACTATTGACTAGTCTCGTACCTAGTCTATTGATTAGTCACACAAAAGTCTATTGAATAGCATACTGACTACTCGACTGAGAAATCTATTGACTAGTCTACTGACTAGTCTACTGAGAAGTTAATTAACTAGTCTGTTGTCTTTTCTACTGATTAATCAACGGACTAAGATATAGACTAGTGTTTTCACTTTTATAAACGAATAGTTATGATCTAATCTATTGAGTTGTCTACTGACTAATCTATTGATAAGTCTACAAACAAGTCTATTGACTAGTTACTGACTAGTCTACCGACTAGTTACTGAATAGTCTACTAACTACTGACTAATGGCTAGTCTACTGAAAAGTCTATTGACTAGTCTACTAACTAGTCTATTGACTAATCTACTTACTAATCTATTGTCTACTGACTAGTCTATTGAGTACTATACTGAGTAGACTAATGAGTACTATACTGAGTAGGCTATTAACTACTCTACTGACTAGTCTATTATCTATGTGATTAGTCTTTAATAACGAATAGTTTATGGCCTAGTCTATTGACTAATAACCCACTAGCTAGTCTTAGAACATGTTAATTGACTAGTCTATGGAATAGTATATGGACCAGTCTATGTGCTAGTCAAAGAACTAGTCTACTGACTCTTATTTAATCAGATGATCAGATCTAGGAGATTGTCTATTGAATAGTCCAAAACTAGTACATTTTGTAGTACATAGACTTGTCTAATGACTGGTGTGTTGACTAGTCTATAAACATGTCTATTGACTAGCGTAATAAGTAGTCTATGGACTTATCTTGGAACTAGTCTATAGAATAGTCTATTAACTTGTCTAATGACTAGGGAAATGAGTAATCTAATGTCTGGTTGGTTTAAGTGGTAGTTCACTACACGCGAACTGTCCAGTAGAGTCGAAGAGACTTCGTTTTGACAGGACCACTCCACAATCTATTGTCTAGTCTATGATATGGTCTGATCTATTGAGTAGTTTTTAAGCAGATCTGTTGACTATGGGCTGATCTGTTGAGTAGTTTTTTAGCAATCTAAGTCCATTAGCTAATTTATGGAATAGCCTATTTACTTTGCTATTATCTAGTCTATAAACAAATCATAGATTAGTCCATATATTGACTAGTCCAAAGAATTATCAATAGACTCAAATTTAATTTTCTTCATGACAAATTCAATTACAAACTCAACATAACTAATTACTTATAAGGCAGGGTATTAACATTATACATTAATCTATATATTTAACAATATTATCTATGGTGTGAGACAAGACAAACGTTCTTCTTTTCTAAAATCTACATTTAGTTACTACTATCTTTATTTTAAAGATTTGTATTTATGTAGTTTTTTTTTCGCATACGATTTGCAACACTTCTTATTTGGCCCTGAAAGCATAAAGTCATCGTATGCCACCATAACTATTATTATTGTATATGCCGCATCATAAATTAATCAATTAAATGTCTTTACTATTGGTCTAACATAGTGTAGAGTTTTTTGTGCAAAAGAAAACAGTAACAAAAAAATGTTTGGTAAGGAGAATGAAACCTAAGTGAAGTCGGTTAGATTAAAATTCCAAAACAATTTAGTTTTGAGACTCTAGGATGTTTCAGAATTGTTTTATATAATATAATATTATAAAACTTTTGTTGAAACAAATCGATCGAAGTTATTAAAGGATTTTTTAAACTATTAAATTTTATCACACTTTTTTCTCTTTACACATCCCTCGCCAACTTCCCCTAATATTTAATTCACTTCTATTGATCTTACCTTGCCACCATTATAATACAGCAATAGCAAAAAAAATACAAATAGCTAAAAATAAAGATACAATTTTTACACATGCAAGTAGTTTAGTTTTCTAGAGCTGGTTCAAAGTCAATGGTTGCAGCAAAAAAAAAAACCAAAAGCTAGACTAAATGTTAGCAGTATGTATGAACATACAAGTACAAGTCCAATTGACTATTTACATGAATGTTTGAATTTTTTTGTTACTCTTTAAATTAAAGTTTTCCAGGTGCCACTAACAGCTAACATACACACACACTCACACTGTTTGTTTGCCAATATTAAAGCTGTCTACTCAGTAGGCATTTTTTCCAACACACAACACATGTATTCATTGGGTCTTTTAGTGTTTAGTCATGCTGTTAACGGCTGCAATTGCAATAAATTAATATGTCTTTCGACTTGTGTCTATACAAGGAAATACAACATGGCCTTATATTTTGTGGATGAGTGTATAAATTATGCGTAAAACCCTTAAAAATAATTTTGAAATACAATTTGATTAAGATACACAATTTTGTAAAAATCTTTATTAAAAGACAAAAAATTAATCTTAAATTAGTACAAATTAAACTTTCAAAATTAACCGTTGAAAAGACACTCAATTCTTAAAAAAAAAAAACTTAAATCTCAAACCTTATTCAATCCTTAACAGAAAATAAAAGACTTAAGAAACAAACCTTTGTTTTGTTACAGTTTAGAAAAAAAATTTAAGAAACGAACTTGAATAACCACACAGCCTCTCTTGATGAAAGACTTAAGACACATGCGCACACTATAAATAAAAATGTGTAAATAAACTTAAGAAGGAAACTTGAAGTATTGGAGAATTTTGAAGAGAAAGACTTAAGGAACAAACTTTTTGAAAGGAATTTTTAATGAAAAATCATTATAATCTTGTTTATTAATTTTTAAAAATAAAAATTTATTTAACTAAACAAAAATTTAAATTAGAATTTTATAAATCCCTTCCTCTCACTTTACTTCATTATTCATATAAATAGTTTTTGTATTTTCAAAAAAATTGTATGAAAAATATTTTCAACGCAAAGTGAAGTTTGTCTAGTCTATAGTCTTGTTTATAGTCTAGTCTATAGTCTAGTCTATAGTCTAGTCTATAGTCTTGTCTATGGTCCTAGTCATAGTCCTAGTCTATAGTCTTGTCTATAGTCTTAGTCGTCTATAGTCTAGTCTATAGTCTAGTCTATAGTCTAGTCTATAGTCTAGTCTATAGTCTAGTCTATAGTCTAGTCTATAGTCTAGTCTATAGTCTAGTCTATAGTCTAGTCTATAGTCTAGTCTATAGTCCTAGTCTATAGTCTAGTCTATAGTCTAGTCTAGTCTAGTCTAGTCTATAGTCTAGTCTATAGTTCTATCTATAGTCTAGTCTATAGTCTAGTCTATAGTCTAGTCTATAGTCTAGTCTATAGTCTAGTCTATAGTCTAGTCTATAGTCTAGTCTATAGTCTAGTCTATAGTCTAGTCTATAGTCTAGTATATAGTCTAGTCTATAGTCTAGTCTATAGTCTAGTCTATAGTCTAGTCTATAGTCTAGTCTATAGTCTAGTCTATAGTCTAGTCTATAGTCTAGTCTATAGTCTAGTCTATAGTCTAGTCTATAGTCTAGTCTATAGTCTAGTCTATAGTCTAGTCTATAGTCTAGTCTATAGTCTAGTCTATAGTCTAGTCTATAGTCTAGTCTATAGTCTAGTCTATAGTCTAGTCTATAGTCTAGTCTATAGTCTAGTCTATAGTCTAGTCTATAGTCTAGTCTATAGTCTAGTCTATAGTCTAGTCTATAGTCTAGTCTATAGTCTAGTCTATAGTCTAGTCTAGTCTAGTCTATAGTCTAGTCTATAGTCTAGTCTATAGTCTAGTCTATAGTCTAGTCTATAGTCTAGTCTATAGTCTAGTCTATAGTCTAGTCTATAGTCTAGTCTATAGTCTAGTCTATAGTCTAGTCTATAGTCTAGTCTATAGTCTAGTCTATAGTCTAGTCTATAGTCTAGTCTATAGTCTAGTCTATAGTCTAGTCTATAGTCTAGTCTATAGTCTAGTCTATAGTCTAGTCTATAGTCTAGTCTATAGTCTAGTCTATAGTCTAGTCTATAGTCTAGTCTATAGTCTAGTCTATAGTCTAGTCTATAGTCTAGTCTATAATCTAGTCTATAATCTAGTCTATAATCTAGTCTATAGTCTAGTCTATAGTCTAGTCTATGGTCTAGTCTATGGTCTAGTCTATAGTCTAGTCTATAGTCTAGTCTATAGTCTAGTCTATAGTCTAGGATTTTGCAATTTGAAATGCTGTTTATAAAAGCGCCAAAAAAATCTCTTGTCCAAGTGTATTTATTCGAAATTTCTGGGAATGCAACGGAATTAAACAATATAAACCAAAAAAGTATTTGATATTTGTTTCTTCCAACACTATAGAAATTGCAATTTTAACCAAATAAATGTAAATGAAAGAAAACTGCAGAATATAACAACAACTTAAATGTCAATATGCAGTTATTGGTCTTCAGTGGTTACTTTTTTCCAACCATGCACTAGACAAACATCAGTTTTCATTAAATATTCGTACAAATAAGTTAAAAAAAGTTGAATCAAAGAAAAACTCAAATTTGCAATGTCTACAGAAAATGATAGTGAATATGGAGAAGAATCAATGCATACAAAGCCAGCAGCAAAAGCTGGACAAGATGAAGAGGATGTGAGTTTAAACCCCGTTTAAGAATTTATTGAATAATGAGGTTATATTTCTGTCACTAGGAAACTTTTGATTTGGATGACATACTGCCTACAATTGGAGAATTTGGCAAATATCAGAAATTATTGGTTTTTGGCATATGTCTGCCTGCTTGCATACCCTGTGGCTTTTGTGCCTTCAATCAACTATTTATGGCCGATACACCTGAGGATTACTGGTGTAAAATACCAGAATTACTTAATATTTCATTGGAACAAAGGAAATATTGGCTATACCACCAGACATGGTAAAGTGATTCATTTGAAATTTTCATTAAAAAAAGAAGCCATATTTTGAAAATTGACATATATTTTGACATTGACATTGTGCGAATGAAATAAAGGTTTTACCAAAGAAGAGATGTCACTATGCTGTTGTTTTGTTTACATATTTCACGTTTTGTTTACATTTACGCTTTCTTTGTTATTGTTTACAGGAACATGATGCCGGTATGTTTAGTAAATGTTTACGTTATGCCGTCAATTGGAGTGAAATACTTGAAAATACTAATATCCACGATATAGAACCAAATGCCACTTGGCCAGTGGAAAAATGTAATCAAGGCTGGGAGTATAATACCACCACGGTGTGGTCCTCTATAGTAATAGATGTATGGAATGTGGTTTTATTAAAATTAAACATCATACAAATCATTAGAAAAACATTAGGTAAAGCCAGTTTAAAACATCATGTAGTTCAACTTAAAGTTCATTTAATATAGCTTATCAGAGTCCTATTAAAAAATGTTTTTATAAATTTACCAAAACTAATGTTTTCCATACTTTAGTATGATTTAGTATGCGATCGCGATATTTATCCCACAATAGGTTTGGCCGCCTTAAATGTGGGCGGTCCCATTGGTGTTTATTTATTCGGCTTGCTAAATGATCGTGCTGGAAGACGAACTTCATATTTTACCTGTTTGGCAACTTTATTAATCGGTAGCTTGATAACATCTTTGAGTCAAGATTTTTGGACTTGGCTGGTAGCCGTGTAATTGTGGGACTCACTATACCAGCTGTATATCAAATACCATTTATTATATGTAAGTATGAATGGCTAATTCAGTCTATACTCCAGTCTATAGTCTAGTCTATAGTCTAGTCTATACTCTAGTCTATAGTCTAGTCTATAGTCTAGTCTATAGTCTAGTCTATAGTCTAGTCTATAGTCTAGTCTATAGTCTAGTCTATAGTCTAGTCTATAGTCTAGTCTATAGTCTAGTCTATAGTCTAGTCTATAGTCTAGTCTATAGTCTAGTCTATAGTCTAGTCTATAGTCTAGTCTATAGTCTAGTCTATAGTCTAGTCTATAGTCTAGTCTATAGTCTAGTCTATAGTCTAGTCTATAGTCTAGTCTATAGTCTAGTCTATAGTCTAGTCTATAGTCTAGTCTATAGTCTAGTCTATAGTCTAGTCTATAGTCTAGTCTATAGTCTAGTCTATAGTCTAGTCTATAGTCTAGTCTATAGTCTAGTCTATAGTCTAGTCTATAGTCTAGTCTATAGTCTAGTCTATAGTCTAGTCTATAGTCTAGTCTATAGTCTAGTCTATAGTCTAGTCTATAGTCTAGTCTATAGTCTAGTCTATAGTCTAGTCTATAGTCTAGTCAATAGTCTAGTCTATAGTCTAGTCTATAGTCTAGTCTATAGTCTAGTCTATAGTCTAGTCTATAGTCTAGTCTATAGTCTAGTCTATAGTCTAGTCTATAGTCTAGTCTATAGTCTAGTCTATAGTCTAGTCTATAGTCTAGTCAATAGTCTAGTCTATAGTCTAGTCTATAGTCTAGTCTATAGTCTAGTCTATAGTCTAGTCTATAGTCTAGTCAATAGTCTAGTCTATAGTCTAGTCTATAGTCTAGTCTATAGTCTAGTCTATAGTCTAGTCTATAGTCTAGTCTATAGTCTAGTCTATAGTCTAGTCTATAGTCTAGTCTATAGTCTAGTCAATAGTCTAGTCTATAGTCTAGTCTATAGTCTAGTCTATAGTCTAGTCTATAGTCTAGTCTAGTCTAGTCTAGTCTATAGTCTATAGTCTAGTCTAGTCTATAGTCTAGTCTAGTCTATAGTCTAGTCTATAGTCTAGTCTATAGTCTAGTCTATAGTCTAGTCTATAGTCTAGTCTATAGTCTAGTCTATAGTCTAGTCTATAGTCTAGTCTATAGTCTAGTCTATAGTCTAGTCTATAGTCTAGTCTATAGTCTAGTCTATAGTCTAGTCTATAGTCTAGTCTATAGTCTAGTCTATAGTCTAGTCTATAGTCTAGTCTATAGTCTAGTCTATAGTCTAGTCTATAGTCTAGTCTATAGTCTAGTCTAGTCTATAGTCTAGTCTATAGTCTAGTCTATAGTCTACTCTATAGTCTAGTCTATAGTCTAGTCTATAGTCTAGTCTATAGTCTAGTCTATAGTCTAGTCTATAGTCTAGTCTATAGTCTAGTCTATAGTCTAGTCTATAGTCTAGTCTATAGTCTAGTCTATAGTCTAGTCTATAGTCTAGTCTATAGTCTAGTCTATAGTCTAGTCTATAGTCTAGTCTATAGTCTAGTCTATAGTCTAGTCTATAGTCTAGTCTATAGTCTAGTCTATAGTCTAGTCTATAGTCTAGTCTATAGTCTAGTCTATAGTCTAGTCTATAGTCTAGTCTATAGTCTAGTCTATAGTCTAGTCTATAGTCTAGTCTATAGTCTAGTCTATAGTCTAGTCTATAGTCTAGTCTATAGTCTAGTCTATAGTCTAGTCTATAGTCTAGTCTATAGTCTAGTCTATAGTCTAGTCTATAGTCTAGTCTATAGTCTAGTCTATAGTCTAGTCTATAGTCTAGTCTATAGTCTAGTCTATAGTCTAGTCTATAGTCTAGTCTATAGTCTAGTCTATAGTCTAGTCTATAGTCTAGTCTATAGTCTAGTCTATAGTCTAGTCTATAGTCTAGTCTATAGTCTAGTCTATAGTCTAGTCTATAGTCTAGTCTATAGTCTAGTCTATAGTCTAGTCTATAGTCTAGTCTATAGTCTAGTCTATAGTCTAGTCTATAGTCTAGTCTATAGTCTAGTCTATAGTCTAGTCTATAGTCTAGTCTATAGTCTAGTCTATAGTCTAGTCTATAGTCTAGTCTATAGTCTAGTCTATAGTCTAGTCTATAGTCTAGTCTATAGTCTAGTCTATAGTCTAGTCTATAGTCTAGTCTATAGTCTAGTCTATAGTCTAGTCTATAGTCTAGTCTATAGTCTAGTCTATAGTCTAGTCTATAGTCTAGTCTATAGTCTAGTCTATAGTCTAGTCTATAGTCTAGTCTATAGTCTAGTCTATAGTCTAGTCTATAGTCTAGTCTATAGTCTAGTCTATAGTCTAGTCTATAGTCTAGTCTATAGTCTAGTCTATAGTCTAGTCTATAGTCTAGTCTATAGTCTAGTCTATAGTCTAGTCTATAGTCTAGTCTATAGTCTAGTCTATAGTCTAGGCTATAGTCTAGTCTATAGTCTAGTCCATAGTCTAGTCTATAGTCTAGTCTATAGTTTAGTCTATAGTCTAGGCTATAGTCTAGTCTATAGTCTAGTCTATAGTCTAGTCTATAGTCTAGTCTATAGTCTAGTCTATAGTCTAGTCTCTAGTCTAGTCTATAGTCTAGTCTCTAGTCTAGTCTATAGTCTAGTGTAGTCTTTAGTCTAGTCGATAGTGTAGTCTCTTGTTTAGTCTATTCTAATAATTTATTCTCCTTTCAGCTCTTGAACTTGTTGGCGAAAGTTATCGTTCATTCGTAACTGTTATGACTTGCACCTTCTACACTTCGGGCATTATGTTACTTTCCGTTGTGACCTATTTAGAAAGAGATTGGGTTAAACTTTCTTATTACACCTCGGTGCCTTTCTATATATATTTTCTCTACCTATTTGTAATGCCAGAATCACCAAGATGGTTGCTAATGCGAGGTCGTTTAGAGGAAGCTTTAAAGATCCTAGAAAATATGGCCAGAGTAAATGGAAATCAATTTCCAGAAGCCGTGAAAATAAAATTAGAGGCACAAATATCGCGTAATAAGCTCAAGGAGAAGAAGAAAGCTGTTAATGTAGGTCTGGCGGACTTGTGCAGGTGAATTTATTTGAAGGCTACTGATAAAAATCAATTTTAAGATTTTGATTAAATCATTTTAGAACTCCTAATATGCGTTTGAAAACCATATTAATAACTTTAAGTTGGTTTGCCAATGAAACGGTGTACTTGGGTCTAAGCTATTATGGTCCTTCGCTGGGCAGTAATCAATATGTAAGTTTTTTTTATCGGCAGTGGTGGAAATACCTAGTTATTTGGTGTGTTGGTATTTAATGGACTGTTGGGGTCGAAGATGGCCTTTAAGTCTTTCCATGATATTGGGGTGAGTTTGTTTTAAATGTATATATGTATATTGGAGAAGAATAAAATATTTTATTATCATTTTAGAGGCGTGGCCTGCGTTATAACCGTTATGATACCCGATGAAGCGGTCGATGAAACTTTAATTTTATATTTGGTCTCCAAGGCTTTACTCTCCGCTTCATTTTTGATAATTTATCCCTTTGCTGGAGAATTGTATCCCACACAAGTACGTGGTATTGGCATTGGTGTATCCAGTTATGTGGGAGGTTTGGGTCTTATAGTCATTCCCTTTGTGACATACTTGGTAAGTAAGGTTTCATCATTTAAATTCGCAATAAATTAACCTTTTATTTTCCTCTCTCAGGGTAAAGAAAATTTAAAATTACCTTTAGTTATAATGGGCTTCGTTTCCATGCTGGGCGGTATTACAGGTCTCAGATTACCTGAAACTCTACATCAACGCTTGCCTCAAACTATTGAAGAAGGTGAAGAGTTTGGAAAAGATTTTACCTTAAATGCCTGCCTTCATTGTGGTACAGCTGAAGCTTCTGCCTCTCAACCCTCTTCATATGAAAATCTAGATGTTTTACATTCAAATACCGCCTCAGATGTTGAACTCGAAATGAATGCCTCATCGAGTGGCAGGCGCTCTATGCGACAACGACCCAAATCTATAATAGATGAACGTACACCTTTAGATATCAGTCGTCCCAGTCGTCCCTCTATGAAACGTTTGGTTCGACAAATGAGTGTAATGGATACACAGAGAACAGAGGATGGTACCATGCAGTTAACCCATTGGATTTGAAGGAAGTATTTTTTATATGTTTATGCTAAAAAAGTCATCATGTTAGGAAAATATAAAGTCAGTATTGTGTGTGTGTTAGTTGTATGTAAATTAGTCGTTAGGTTTTAACTAACTAAATAAGCGAACAATTGGTTTAAAAATTTACTATATATTAACAATTAATTAATAAAGATTCAAATTGATTTGTGTTTAATATGGTCATATATATTCTGTAATCTAGAGTTTAGTTCTAGTTCAGTACTAGTTCAGTTCTAGTTCAGTTCTAGTTCAGTTCTAGTTCAGTTCTAGTTCAGTTCTAGTTCAGTTCTAGTTCAGTTCTAGTTCAGTTCTAGTTCAGTTCTAGTTCAGTTCTAGTTCAGTTCTAGTTCAGTTCTAGTTCAGTTCTAGTTCAGTTCTAGTTCAGTTCTAGTTCAGTTCTAGTTCAGTTCTAGTTCAGTTCTAGTCTAGTTCAGTTCTAGTTCAGTTCTAGTTCAGTTCAGTTGTAGTTCAGTTCTAGTTCAGTTCTAGTTCTAGTTCAGTTCAGTTCAGTTCTAGTTCAGTTCTAGTTCAGTTCTAGTTCAGTTCTAGTTCAGTTCTAGTTCAGTTCTAGTTCAGTTCTAGTTCTAGTTCAGTTCTAGTTCAGTTCTAGTTCAGTTCTAGTTCAGTTCTAGTTCAGTTCTAGTTCAGTTCTAGTTCAGTTCTAGTTCTAGTTCAGTTCTAGTTCTAGTTCAGTTCTAGTTCAGTTCTAGTTCAGTTCTAGTTCAGTTCTAGTTCAGTTCTAGTTCAGTTCTAGTTCAGTTCTAGTTCAGTTCTAGTTCAGTTCTAGTTCAGTTCTAGTTCAGTTCTAGTTCAGTTCTAGTTCAATTCTAGTTCAGTTCTAGTTCAGTTCTAGTTCAGTTCTAGTTCAGTTCTAGTTCAGTTCTAGTTCAGTTCTAGTTCAGTTCTAGTTCAGTTCTAGCTCAGTTCTAGTTCAGTTCTATTTCAGTTCTAGTTCAGCTCTAGTTCAGTTCTAGTTCAGTTCTAGTTCAGTTCTAGTTCAGTTCTAGTTCAGTTCTAGTTCAGTTCTTTCAGTTCTAGTTCAGTTCTAGTTCAGTTCTAGTTCAGTTCTAGTTCAGTTCTAGTTCAGTTCTAGTTCAGTTCTAGTTCAGTTCTAGTTCAGTTCTAGTTCAGTTCTAGTTCAGTTCTAGTTCAGTTCTAGTTCAGTTCTAGTTCAGTTCTAGTTCAGTTCTAGTTCAGTTCTAGTTCAGTTCTAGTTCAGTTCTAGTTCAGTTCTAGTTCAGTTCTAGTTTAGTTCTAGTTTAGTTCTAATTCAGTTCTAGTTCAGTTCTAGTTCAGTTCTAGTACAGTTCTAGTTCAGTTCTAGTTCAGTTCTAGTTCAGTTCTAGTTCAGTTCTAGTTCAGTTCTAGTTCAGCTCTAGTTCAGTTCTAGTTCAGTTCTAGTAGTACTTAGGTTAGGTTCAGCGGACTGTATACTTAGAAAAGTATAACTTTACTTGGGTCCAAATTAGGTCCCTTTGTAATGCCTGGAAAGAAAACAGATACGGAAAGGAGCAATAGAGACAGTAATGGGTAGTATTTAAGAACTGAAAAATAAAAAGAATAAAAAGAGATAGTAGCGAGCCTATAAGAGAAGTGAGGATCATATAGTGTGATCAATTACACACCCATTTCGACAGTTTTGAGAATGCTAGAATACGTTCAAGTTGAACAGTTGATAGATCCGATAGATCAGAAAAATATGCCGACCTTATTGCCTGAGAACGGATCGATTCAAGG